GCACCCCGCTGGGTGTCTGTGTCCGTCCGTCACAAGGGGGATGCCCCGAGCCCCCGGCCGCAGCAGGTGCCCCTTCACCCCACGGCAGAGCAGAGCCCCATGTCCCCAGCGGGCACAGAAGGTGCCAGTGCCCGCCAGCACCTCCAGGCAGCAGGGACCTGGGCAGGATTTTCCCAAAGGAGACGTGTGTGGGGTGGCAAAAGCTGCCTTCAGGGAAGGATCAGCTGGAAGAAACCTCCTGCAGGCACAGTGGGACTGGCAGAGCGTGGGGGACAGAGGCGGGCAGCAGAGGCAGGTCTGCAGAGTGGAGGACCCAGAGAAGACACAACAGCCAGAGCCGGCTGCGAGGGATGGCCGGAGACAGACACTTTCCACAGTAAGTGAAGAGCAGAATTTTGTATCCAAATAATGTATTTCAATCTTTGTCACCCACCAGAGCCGAGTTTTCTTTCTCTAAAGAGTCACTTTTTGCTCTAAGAAAACACTCCAGACATGGAAGTCCCTCTAATGGAAGTCCCTCTGATACTTTCAGGAGAGCTCAGAGCAAAGGTGCATTTGGACGCAGCTCACAGATGGACGGCAAGGGGGTTCACCGTCCTGGCTGCAGTGAGGGGGAGCCTCAGAAACCTCACCCTGCCAGGTAGCTGTGGTGATCTCATAACAGCCAGCTTGGACAGGAGCACCTCTCTTCCCTGTCGCTCCATCTTTGAATGGACCATCTCTTTCCTACTGAACTCTTCTATCTATTCTTGCCCATTCCCCCCAAGCCACTACCCTGAGGGCTATGCACAGCATGCCAGGTAGCTAAACTTAATCCCACTGATCACCCAGGCCAACTGCTGCCTGAGTCCTGACCCATGAAGGGGGACCAGCTGCGCTGAGGCACAGCCTGCTTCCCCCGCTGCCCAGGGGTGCTTGGAGCAGGAGGAAAGCAGAGGTCTCTCTAAAACACCAGACAATTCTGACCTGGCCCGCAACCAGGAAACACTGAGCCCTTCTCCCTCCTTCCCCTGTTCTTGTGCTCCATTCCTCAAGGCACACAGCAACAGCATCACAGTTTCAGCTCAGATGCCTGCGTTTGCCAGGTCAGTGATGCTGCTATAATATAAAGCATGTGTCTACACAGCTCTACAGCAGCATGACCACAAGCATGTCCTAGGCACTCTGCTGGAGGAGAGCACGAGACGGAGACAGAAAAAAGCCATCCGAGTTAATACGCTTATGGCTGATATGCTAAAGATGATCTTTCAGCACATCCTTGCAGGCTCACTGTACATACAGAATATTCAGCTATGGTCTTACACGGTCACCATCAAAGAGACACTGGGAACTACAGCAACACGACAGAGTTTGTCCTCCCACCACCTCAGAGCTGTAACTACAGTCTATAGCTACAGCAGGTGACCCCAGGTATGGGAACTAACAAATGCCACAGAAACGTGTGGCAATGGAAAGAAGAAAATGCTGATCTCTCGCATGGTGACCCAACTCAGGGTCCTAATTCACCCTCTCCTAAAGGTATGCAGCAGTCCTAATGCGCCCTGTGTTCTCTTCCAGTTAAACCAGTGCCTTGCCAGTTCTTTCTTGCTCCCCTGCGTACGTAAGCACTGCGGGTTGACACTACACTCCTTCGTTTACCCACCTGGGTACTTCCAGGAAATCCTGTCCACACTTCCCCAAGCTAGGGCTTTATTCTAGTCCAGCAATCCTCCAGGCCAATGCTGACTTATTCCAGGAGAAACAGCAAAAAGGAGCTTAGTGTTGGCTGCTGCTGCGGGAATGGCACATCATTGCTCTTCGATCACGTTGTTTGTGCAACATTTGCCTATTTCCTGGCTCAGGGACTGAAAAGCTCCTGGTGC